TATTCCAGAACAAAGGCTCCTCCGTGCACACGCAAAAAAAAAATGCAAGTTTTAATTGAAACTTCCTTGAAAACTGCGTGAAGAATAGAAGACTTGGGAACATTTCACGCTTCCGGAGAACTTGAGACGTTTTAATTTTTTTTTTCGACAAGGGCATTTTGTAAATATTTTGTGCTTAAAGCTTAGAAACTTTTTGAAAAGTAATCAAGCTGATGGATTCGAAATGATCATCAGGTTTGCTCTTGAACAATATTCATTTTTACAAAACCAATATTCCTAAAATCTTCCGGAAAAAACCGCGTCTATATACCGAGGATTTAAAAATAAAGTATATTACGCCGATTTTAAAGCAGGCGTATCTTTAAATACTGTACTATCAAATATTTTAGACTTCAGTTATTGATTCCACGACTTTTAATAATTTTAAACTTCATGACTTTTGCTATTTTGATACGACCTGAACCGAAAGTCCTTTTAACCAATCCGCTTGAATTGTTATGCTATCATTCAATTAAGAATGCATACTTAAATTCTGCTTTTACATAATCTGAAGCGCTTCAGATTGAAAATCACCCCGCTCCACAACCGTCGTCCCTCATTATTATTGAAATCGGATATACAGTCAACCCCATCTAATGGACTTGATTTGTGCAAGGGACAAGTCTGTTAGATGAAAAGTCCTTTACACAAATTCAATTACATAAAAAATTGAAAATTTCAATTTTCAACATTAATTTCAAACCAAAAGAAGTCTGTTCGGTGGATTTTGTCTGTTGGGTGGGAGGAAAAACTGCTTGCAGAGCTGGTCTGTTTGGCAAAAATCCCTTACATGGGAGGTCTGTTAGGCAGGGGGCCACTGTAATTTAATCTTGCTTTGAACTTATCTGAAAATTACTACAGTATATACAGTATATTCTCTTAACAAATTATCCACACCCAAATAAAACACCTCGTCGTCTTTCTTCTCTTCTCTATTTTTTTTACTGCACTTGAAATTATAGTCCGATAATACTGTGATGTAATTCGAAAATGTGGAACTTAATTGCTGAACGATCTTGAATTTTAGGCCATTGTTTCAATAAAGGTGATACTTCCTTCTTTCTCCAGCATCTCCTTTTTTACGCACGTGCAGTCCGTGATTGGAGACGATTTTTGAACTGAAGTGATAGTATCAAGTGAAACGGAAAAGTGTTAGGAAGAAGAAAAAAAATACTGTACTGTATATACATAAACGTTGATCCGCGATGCCACCGATCCGGAAAAGCGAGGCAATGACCCCGTCTGAACCAACGGACCCTTGGCTGCTGGACCACGACTGACTGCTCGCCTACGACCTTTTGCTCCTTCTCACGTGGAAGCACGCCTTTTAGCACCTGAACTAAAAGGCACTCGTGGACGAGCACACGGTGCTGCAGACCGAAATCAAGGTCATTGAATTCGTCCACCCGCACAACCTGGAGGTACGTACGTGAGATGATGATCGGCAAATGTGCAAAACTGCATATACTCTATACGTATTTGTTTTAGAATATAGATCGAGAGATTAATTATATCCCTGCGAATAATGAGACAGAAAGGAAAGGTGCGTCTGCAAGTATACTGTGTCGTCCGAGTTTTCATTCTCAATTTCTGACGAATGTCAAGTGAAATTCACGCTACACTTTTTTTTTCGTTCAAAATCGGCTTCAGAAATCAACGAGCATTTCATGCGTAATAATAATCGACCTGAAAAGAACCCATAAATTGTTCGAGAAACATTTTTGGTGAAAATAGAGCGTATGAAACATATACTCACAATCTGCATGGGGTGAGCTCAGCAAATATGCAAAACTGCATACTATATATATATAGTGAGACCCCCAGATACGGACACCTCAACATGTGGACAATTTTACACAGGGACACGTATTTACCCATACAAAATTAATAAAAAAGACCCAACTTGAGGACACTGACTCAACATATGGACATTTTGTGATACAATTGCAAATAAGTTCCAGGTCAAATTACAAGAAACAGATATATCCAACCCTAAAAATTGACGTAAGAAAAGTTCTTGGGCATTTATCTCGCCAATTTACCATCCATTTGGTTTATTTAAAAAAGTACCTCCAGCATAGAGGACTTCCTTCTCTCTTTTTCACTTGAATATTATTTTTACAGAGAATGCCAACATTTCTATGTACTGTACAGAGGTATCAGTATTCAATTCCCTGAATGTCCATATTGTGTTGAAATATATTGATTTTAAAATTAACATTTCAGGCCAATGTTATCAATTGGGAGACAATTTTTATTTTCATGGAATTATGGTGAGTATTTTGTCCATAAAACACTAATTAAAAATTATATAATGTAAGTCTAAGGGGAAATGAGACTCAACTTAGGAGCATGTTGACTCTTGATGCACCAATTACATCCGCATCTTGGGGTCTCATTGTACTGTATTTTTTATAGAAAAGAGTGATTATATTCCTGCGAATGAGACAGAAAGGTGTGTCTGAAACTATGAGAGTGTTCATCCTCAGTTGATGATGAATATCAAATAAAAGTCACGGCGAACTTTTCTTTTGTTCAAGTTGACTTCAAAAATGTAGGAGTATTTTTTACGTTAGGAATCAATGAACTTAATATCATTCAAAAATTGTTTTAAAAACATCTTGGAGAAAATGGTGCAAATAAAACTTATACGGTACTCACAATCTGGAGAATCTGGAGGTGAGCTCTGCAATAATATGCAAAACTTCCTGCTACAGTACATTTGTTTAAGCATAGAGCGATTATCACTGCGAATGAGATAGAAATAAAGGCGTGTCAGCAACTGCACGAGTTTCATGCTCAATTGATGAATATCAAATGAGAGTCAAGGTGCACTTTTTTAAAATTTGGCTTTAAAAATATAGAGCAACATTTTATGCATCAGATGTTAGAATCATCGAACTAAAGATCTCTTCATAATTTTTTTCCAGAAACATTCTGAAAGAAAATATTGCGTTTGAAACAGGAATTTTGTAAAAAAAAAAAAAAGTAAATAATTGCCAACATGCATCTGAATCACCTCATCATATTATTTTAAATTAACATTTCAGGCCGATGTTTAAGTCCTTATGAGACGGCGTTCCACAGGAAATGAATATAGAGGATTCACGAACCGAGTGGCTGAAATAATATACATGTATACGTGAGATTTAATCGGATTTTTTTCAGGGACAAACATTAGATTTCAACCTGAGCAAGAAAGGGACGAGCAGAAGAGACCTTTTGAAAATTTGCGAAAATGCTGTCAAGTACAGTGTGCGAACGAGTCATCCTTATTTCAGGAATCAGTTGTACGGGGGCGTTGATCCGTACGCATTGGCTGGGACTTGGCTGTCTGAAGCTCTGAATACGAATCAGTGAGTTATATACTTCGTGCTGTAATTTATACTCTAATCATCTTTTTCAGATTGAGCAAATAAAACTTATTCAAAATTTTAAATCCCGATCTCAATAATTATAGAGCCATATTCAAGTGTATTTTCCTGACGCGTCTAAAATTCGTCAGCGAAAGTTCATTTAAATTTATTTGCGATTCCGAGGATCTTCTAATTCATCACGTGACAGAAGATGAATTACAGTATTGTGATTATTAAAAAAAAAATCTGAATTCACTTCCAAAACTGATTAGGTACACGTTTGAAGTCGCCCCATTTTTCATGACGACTGAACGAGCGATTCTGAAGAAAATTCGGGAAATCATCGGTTGGCCTGACGGAAGAGGAGACGGAATTTTTGCTCCAGGTAAATAATGCGGTTTTCTTTCATTCTTGAAATTAGATTTTTTAAATTTTAAAATCTGCATCAGGTAATATTTTTGATTGGCGGGAAGTTCTTCGTGTAGCAGTACGTTTAATGCGGGAGACTTTTTTTCCCCCCGAAGCATCTGATTCTGAATTAAAGCTGAAGAGAGTGAAGGCATTCAAATTTTTGTGAAAGCATGTGGAGACAATTTTTCATCTCATTTTGATTTCTCTCACTAGGTGGCAGCACTGGAAATATGTACGGGATTGTAGCAGCGAGATACAACAAATTCCCGGAGTCGAAAGTGGAAGGAATGTTCGGGTTACCGCGACTGACCCTTTTCATTTCTCAAGACGTGAGAAGATTATCTAAAAAAAAAAAAACCCCCAGCTTGACATGGAAAAACTGCACGGATTCTCGGAATTGTTTACGATTTAATGTATTTCATTTTCAACAGGCTCATTATTCGTCGATCAAAGCGGCGCATTGGCTCGGGTTCGGAACCAAAAGCGTCATTGCCGTGCCCACCGATGAATTGGGTAGGATGATCCCAGAAGAATTGGAGAAGTGTGTGGAAGAATCAAAGGTACAGTATATTACAGGGCATTCCATTTTGTGTTCAACAAAAGTATCACAGTTGAACATCTCTAAGTCGAATTTGAAGGGACTAGCGAAAAAATTGACTTAGAGATGTTTTGAGTTTCATAGAATTATATACAGTATTATATTTTACTTATACTGTATAATCAAGCATTTTTATTGACCCTTTGTAACTTCTTAACGTAATGTAAAATGCAACACGATAAAACCCGGAGTTTAAGGTAGATTTTCCTCAACTGTCTCGTGAGTTGAACCTCTGTCCCCATTGAATCAGACAGTGTAAGACAGTAAGAACATCAGATTCCATTTTTATTGTTATTTTTTTTCTATCCTGTTCCATTAAAATAATCGCCTAAAGGCCTAAAAAATTCGACGTTTGTAATTTTTTGAGAAAAAGCCTCCAAGTTGGGGAGGTTTTAATGCATTATTTCTAAAGGAATTCAGTCGGGGACTCAAAATCTTTTTGACTTGGGGAGGTTCGATTTAGCAAGGTTCGACTGTAGCATGAATGACATTTTCTCCGACAAGTTTTTGAAAAGTTGCGATGCATATCCCATCGTTTTGTCTCGTCGGCATTCATTCCCTGTGATGATCGGTATTTTAAACATTTTATTGAAGTGTGTTTTGATTATTGAGGTGCCTGAACAGGGCTCAATTTTTTCAATCTTTTTATTCCATCAAAAAAAAATGTTCTCCGCCAAAACGTTATTACGATTTTTTAAACGCCTATGGCGATTTAAGACAAAAGTCTTGAAATTATGTCCCGTGGTGTTAAAAAAAAAACCTAAAAGAATGATTGCTGCGTGGATGTAAAAAAATATAAATCTTGCTTAGAACGTTAAAAACGGTAACATTTCATATAAAGCAGTTAATACATTGTAGGGTCTTTACTACTCGATGTCCGTTTTGTTCTGATTATTGCTGCGAATGGACAATGATACTCATTTTTTCAATCATTTGTTCCGTCAAAAATAAACGCTAATTGCTTTGCAATAATTAACTTTACAGACTGTATTCTTCCGATTTCAGAGCTTTACAACAGGGAACCACATAACGAACAAGCTCCAAAAAGCAGATCGCTTATTACAGTTAAAAAAATAAATATTTAGAATGAATGTTGCTTATTTTCGCCATTTTTTCTCAAGTATTTTTCCTCCATTATATAACATCCCAGAAATGCGGAGCTGTTCCTTTTTGCGTCGTCGCCACTTCGGGAACAACTGTTCTAGGTGCTTTCGATCCTCTGGAAGCAATTGCAAAAATCTGCCGAGCGAATGACATCTGGCTTCACGTCGATGTGAGTTATTTTGTTTTTCTTCATTTTCCTCACGCTTGCTTTCCTTAATATTCTATGGTTTTTCCTTGCTTATAGAGGGTGAGTTTTTTTTTTTTTTTTTCTTCGGGCATGATTAAATAATTTCAGCCTTTATTTTCAGGCTTGCTGGGGAGGTTCAGCGCTTTTGTCCAAGAAGCACAGACATCTGATGAAAGGCGTTGAGAATGCGGACAGCTTAATTTGGAACCCCCACAAAATGCTTGGGGCTCCACTTCAATGTTCACCCTTCGTGATTCGTCACGAAGTGAGTAAAATTTAATTTTAAAAGTATAAAAAGTACCCATCAGAGCTTACCGACCATGCTTGTAAGAGAGGTAACTATATAGGCAATGAGTGCTGGGAAAATCTAACATAGTTTAAAAAAATCCCTTTGCATACATAAAGAGACCCCCACATGTGGACACCTCAACCTGCGGACAATTCAATCTAGGGACACTTATTTTCCCATAAAAAAATTAATAAAATAGGCATGACATGAGGACACTGATTCAACACAGGGACATTTTGTGATACAATTGCAAATAAGTTCCAGGCCAAATTACAAGAAACAGATTTTTCCAACCCTAAAATTGATGTAAGAAAAGTTCTTTGGCATTCCTCTCACCAATTTACCATCCATTTAGCAGATTTAAAAAAAATTCCTCCATCATAGAGGGACTTCCTTCTCTCTTTTTCACTTGAATATCATTTTTACAGAGAATGCAAACATTTCTATGTACTGCACAGAGGTATCAGAATTCAATTCCCCAAATGTCCATATTGTGTTGAAATATATTNATTCAATTCCCCAAATGTCCATATTGTGTTGAAATATATTGATTGAATCAGTTTAAATTGGGAGACCATTTTTATTTTCATGGAATTATGGTGAGTATTTTGTACATAAAACACCAATTAAAAATTATATAATGTAAGTCTAAGGGAAATTGTGACTAGACTTAGGGGCATTTCAACTTAGGGACAGTCTTGATGCACCAATTACGTATGCATCTTGGGGTCTCACGCGTATATTCAAGTCCAATGCTGAAAATCAGTTTCCATGAACCAAATTAGAATATACTGTAAATATTCTTTTACTCATCTCTCAATTTTCTTGAAGTCAAAAATGAAGAAATTCTGCCTGATTGATTCCTTGTGAGCCATCAGAAGGCGCATGAAAATCGGTTAAAATCCATTGACCTTAAAAAAATTGCTTAAAAAAACACATTGCAGCAATTTTATGACATAAAATCAAAGCAAAATAGTTAAGAAATACTCCGTTGCAACCCTTATTTATGTTAGGCCAACAGGAATTTTTCTGGCTCATCCAAGACTGGTTTTTGCGTCTGATTGCCTCTGAAAAATCAATCCAGAACAGCAACAAAAATATTTTGCAGCTGCGTCAGTGCCTCAGCATCAGCAATTGAAAAAAAAATAACATTCCTTCAATGCCTCATACACAGGATTGAACTTGTATTCCTTAATTAACCACAGGATCATCATGCTAATTTCCCAAACTCGAAAACTCCTTGATATTGATTTTTATTGGGTCACTTTGAGTTTGATTTCAAGAGTCCCACTTTTCAAATCGGGCCTCATTTTTAGAAATAAAAAAACATGGCCCTGTATATGCTTACATAAATCATGGATTTTACTCAGGGTTTGTTGCACAAATGCAACAGCGCTTCGGCGACGTACTTGTTCCAGCAAGACAAATTCTATGACGTTTCCTACGACACTGGCGACAAAAGCTTTCAATGCGGACGGAAAGTCGACGGTTTCAAGTTGTGGACCATGTGGAAAGCACGTGGCGACAATGGACTCGAAGCTCTCGTCAGCAACACATTCCAATGTGCAGAGTTAGTTCTATACTTTCGTGGAATATATGCTGCCATTTTTTTCCAGCTTGTCTTTTGCAGAAACCTTCTGTTGACCTAATTTCGTTACCTATTCCTGGAAATATCTGAAGAAGAGTTGAGCATACATTTAAACGTTCATTATACGGCCATAATAAATCCAAAATTATGACCGCGCATGTGTCGAACGGAAAAAAAAACCGATGCTAGAAAAATTACCTGCGAGGGGACGAATTTAAAATTAATTTAAGGCGGGGGAAATTTCAATTTCTGAAACATTATTTTGAGTGTATAGAGACTATTTTGAGTCAAGAGCTTCGGGAAGACAGCTGTTGTGTAAAGTTCGTTAAGTTCATTTTAAAGAGAAATAAGCAGCACATATGGTGAACTACTGTATATATTATTTTTAGTGGAGTCTCTAAATTTACTTTGTTAATTTACACAAATTTATTTGATTGTTCACCTTAATTGGATTTACACGTATTCATAAGGTAAAACAATTTAAATTCAATTGAGCAATTTTTGCATTTTAGATAACCATGCATATTTTAGAATATAGATCATATTTTTGACTTCAAGACTCGCGGAATTGTCTTAAAAAATGCGCGAGAATTCCAGAAAAGTTTTTCAAAAAGATTTTCTTTGTAATCTTTACCGTATTTTTATTTTATACATTTTTTGAATGTTTATTTCGCCAAAAATACCATTTTTACTTGTTGGTCATATACGTGCACATACGTCACCTCAATTTTAGAGTTTTATGTATTCCCTCGTGGTGAAGACAATTTAATGAGCATATGAAAAATTTCCTTCCTGTCCAAATGAAGGTACGTGCATGAATTGATCAAAAATCGACCGGGATTCAAAATGGTCATACCTGAAGTTCAGTGCACAAATGTGTGCTTCTGGTACATTCCCGAGTGTCTGCGGAATCTAGAAGAAACTGAGGAATGGTGGACAAAGATGGAAAAGGTGATGCGAAAGAAGAGTTTTTTGTTCAGTTTGTTCAAGGATGGATTAATGAGAAAATAATTATTAATCATTTTTAAAATTATTCTTCGTCGCGATTATTCAAATCCAGGTTGCTCCGGAAATCAAGCGTCGGATGACAGTCGAAGGCAGCCTCCTGATCGGTTATCAACCTCTGAAGCACAAAAATTTGCGCAATTTCTTCCGACTCGTCCTGACTTGCCAACCCCCATTGACAACGGAGAACATGGACTTCGTTGTGTCGGAAATCGACAGACTCGGTCGAGATATGATTCTTTGAAGCAAATATTGTACATTATTTGTTCCGGAAATACGATAAAATTATTTTCTTTGTTTTTCGAGGTCAATTATTGGCGCCTCGATGTTTAATGAAGCTTTATTCAAAATCATTTTATTGGTCATTTTTCTTTGTTTATTTATTTATTTTACCCTAACAAAAAGCGGACTCTTACACCATGTGCTGTCGTGTGTTGACAACAGAACGGGGAAAAGTAAATTGAAAACTGCAGACGCAATCATCCAGGTTTACTTTGGCCAAATGTTTATCTTGTACCGTATAACCTTAAAATTGATGGTTGCCTATATGTTTATAATAATTCCACTCCAATTGCGAGTTCATTCAGTGATTCAGCAGACTGGAATATTTCGAGTCATAACGTCAAATCACTGTGGAACTACAATTCCGTCATGGCATTAATACTTAAAAGTGCCGCATATGAACATTTTATTGAATTTAATTTTCTTGATTGAGGTCACCTTTATTTTTCTTTCTTTCTTTTGTTTATTGTTCCACCTTTTTCCGAAATTTTAAATTTTCTAAGGACGAGTGTCAATTCTTTGCAGGTCTATTCCACTAAATAAGGTATAAGAAATTCTAGGGTAACTATGGTAAAAAAAAAGAACAGTACCAAGCATCAGATTCATAAAATCCTCCCGAATTTTATCCACACTAGTTTGATCAAAGGGAAATCACTTGAATATGGTCATTAAAATTGATGAATATTTTCATGATGGTTTCCTGTCCTTTACATGTCATTCGGCAAGAATTTTTTTCAAGGCAACCTGACAAAGACACTGCGCACAAGTAATCGCTTCTGGGGCTACGTTTTTTTCTCTTTTTTTTGTGTTCGTAGTCTTTTATTCAATCACCTTTAAAATTTTTTTAAAATTTTTTGCATCATACTTTTTTTGTTTTGATATCGCATGATGACTGATGCAAGGTTTTATCAGATCTTGATGATCAAGAATGGTTTTCCTACACATGCAGTGTATTACAGAATATATGGTTTTGGATGACTAATACGATATGAACCTCTTTTTTTTTACATGTACTCTCTTACGAGTATGTTCTCTCTTTTCATACTTGAATTTCGCTGTAACAGTGAACGTACAGTATTTGCATAGAATTTTCTTCTTTTTTCATGCATCGGTTTCGCTCTTGTCCACCGAGATGATTTGGATTCCAATTCATCACGAGCTAACCAGAGAAAAGGCCGTTATGGCCTTGTGCCAATTCCAGAAAGCCGTGATGACGACCATGCGCGCGAAACCACATCTTCAGAATGAACTCGGAAGGCCAAAAAAAAAAGAAACCACAAACATATTTTCCTGTGCTCTCTCAGAAATCCCAGGAGCAGAAGGAAATACGCAGTAACATTTCAGGCGGGTTTTATTGACTATAACCCGTCGGAAGAGGTACTATACTCCTTCATTCTGGAGCACACAAAAATAAAAAAAATAAATAAAGCGATGGCTCCAGCGCGCGTGGGAAGATATTTTAAACCATTTTTTATAGAATATATTTGACGATAACGGAACCAGGAGTTTGTTTGGAATACGTCACGGCGGGGAGATACCACGTGGGTTCTCCACGGCCTAGGTCGAGGTGAACCTGACGTCATCCATTTAGTGCCTTTCTGAACCCTGAGAGTGTCGCTTAACTTGCGATCAGCAGCACAGTGACCCGGTTTTCTCGAGTGCATGGCTGGAACAATTTGCAACCAACCTTTTTCAAAATTAAAAAAGGAAATGTGGCAAACATCACGGTGTTTATAATAAAAGTTTTAATTAGAAACGTTGTCAGGCCCAACCTCGTCATATAGCCTGTAATAATCTCGTCGCGAATTAAAAATTAAACTCGTCGCGGAATATCGTCGTCAGGAATAACCTCGTCTTTATTATGCATTACCGGAGATGTTGGGACTTGAGAATTTTTTTGCTGTACCAGGTTGGTCCAGTTATTGTGAAGTGTGGGAAGATTTTTTTTCACGAGTTTGTTCCAGGATAGGCTTGACGACAGTAATCCAGTGTTGGAATTATTACGACGTTATTCCACCATCCCGTTTTCTCACCTCGCCATGTGTCCTTGTATGTAACAACTACGGGGTCACGTACAGTACACGTGAAAATATTCCCGATAATGTTCACACTCTGTGAATTTTAGATTGGATTTTTTTCAACCTGAAATTCTTAATAACGATCGTTCGTCAGCAACAGTAGCTGCTGCGGAGCGTGGGATTTTTTGTGTGTGTGAGCATTTAAAATCTTCTTTTGTATACATCGATTGTGAACCAAAAAAAAAAGCAGACCGTGTCTATATTTATTCGTGCAGTGTTTCGTATAGTGTAGCTCCACAATAATATCGCGAAGGCATCGGATTGAAACAATTATGAGCAAATGAACGTTTTGAACTTGATTAAGTACAAGTACTGGACATACACATATTTATTTGCACATACTGTATTTATATTTTCGGCCATGAATTAAAAGTGAGGCCTAGTGAAGTGTTTTCCGTGGTAATGCATAGCTGAATCACAGTAACTTGGAATGAATGCATTTTGAGCAATGAGGAACTTTTTTTTTTACAAAATATCTCTGCATTCGAGCTCGAGAAAATATCTCTGCATTCGAGCTCGAGAAAATATCTCTGCATTCGAGCTCGAGAAAATATCTCTGCATTCAAGCTCGAGCTCGAGAAAATATCTCTGCATTCAAGCTCGAGCTCGAGAAATGTACCAAATCTTACTTTTCGATCATTCAGCACAGCTGAAGCACTGTAACTTCAGAGATTTTGAGCGAAAGAGCGGTTATACAGCAGAATTTAATCAGCACAATAGTCCTTATTATGCAACTTGAGATGTGTATAAATTTTTTTAAATGATGCATAGTTAATTTTATCTATTGAGTGGACCGTTTTTTACATTTAAATTTTCAGACAAGGAAATTGTACAAAAATATTCGCAATATTTTTGTAACGATGAAATATTGCATGCATGAAACAAAGTTATTCCAAGGTCGAGTTCTGATTGACTTATATGCTTCCAAATGATGCAAAAATGTGCAAAACTTAATGACTGTCGTAAGAAATAACATCCGTCGTGAAATGCCAGGAACAAGCAGATGAACTTTAAGAATTNTTATTCCAAGGTCGAGTTCTGATTGACTTATATGCTTCCAAATGATGCAAAAATGTGCAAAACTTAATGACTGTCGTAAGAAATAACATCCGTCGTGAAATGCCAGGAACAAGCAGATGAACTTTAAGAATTTAGCACAATCCTACATCTCAAGACAATTTGGCTGTGTGCTGAAGTACTTGAAATATAATTTTAAACTTATGGGAAGAAAATTGCCAGTCATCCGCATCTGCTAGTCGTGTGTTCATTTCTTTTATATTTTTGCGAAAAAAAAATGTTTGACCTTGGAGCTGTCATTATAAGGCATCATTTGACTTTAACTGCCAACAGATGTTTTTCCAAAAATAAAAACCGAGAAAGACAACTAAGCAGCCTTCCGAAGTTTTATGATGATGACTTTTCTTGAAACCAGGCGGGATTAATCCTTCGGATTTTTTTTTCTTTGGAAAATACAAAATGAAACTTCAATGCATAGAAAACCGATACGAGAAAGGGCCAAGAATTTCAGATTTTAAAACGTTGATAAGTAAAATATCAACTTCTGTGTGTTCGTGTGATGGTCATGCTGGTGTCACTGTTACCCGATTTAATTTCAAAATCTGAAATTGGAAGTTGAAGAAGCTCAGATCGAGTCATAGCCAGGTGGCGAATGATGGTTCCTATTCTCTTGAAAATTCACGAATGATAAACCAAAACTTACTTTCCGAGGAACTTCCAGACTTTATGGTAAAGAAGTCCAAGGAATTTTCTTTACCATAAACTATTGAAAAAGAGGCCCTTTCTTTTATTTCAGGCGAGTTCTTTAAACATTTTTGTGTCAGTCAACATAATGAAGCTTGCTTCAAAACTTGAAACTCGAAGTACAATATCTTGAATACTTCACGCGGTAAAATTTCGTTCTTCCTCCATCGAAAAGAGTCATCCAAGCAAGTGTGGTTATCTCACCACACTTGTTTGTCGCGTACAAACATAACAATTTCGTTCAAATTCCTCTGGAAGAATGTTGTACTTGTACTGGACGGTATGTTCTTCAATTTATTACCAAATGTCAGAGACATTTAAAAAGACGTGAAGTTTGGGTACTCCACTCAGGTATCCATGGTTGCGTGGTCAAATAGAAGGAAGAAAACTGCTTTGTTTCGTCGCGGGACCCGCGCGTTAGGGCGCACGCACGCACGCCTTACGGATGCCCCACCAGACCAGCCGTGACTCGTGCCGTTTCTTCCAAAAGGCTGGTAGGGACGCATCTACCCTAAGCTTGCAAAGTGACTAAGTAAAATACTTGCATGCGGAGCGCAAGCCCCACACGGCTAGGCGTGTGATGCCCTTTGCGCAATGTGAACGCGTGACGGAACGGGGTCGGTCCTCGCGGAACGACGAGTGCTCTTCCCAACAGCAGTTTTTATGCCTATTCTAAAGATTTTGAACTGAGCCTCTACAATGTCAACATACTTTACTCAATTTATTCAAGAAGCAAATTAAGGTCCAGAATATCACCATTGACAAGTTCATGCAATTATTCTTCTTATTTTTCTTTCCCCTCATAAAAAAATGCCCGTTTCCTCAAGTTGAAACCTCCCAAAATGGATTATATTCGAGATTTGACTTGAATAGGTTTTTGACAAACTGAAACTCGGTTGGATCTGCATTATTTGAAAAAAGTCTCAAAACGTATCCACCAACCCTCGTATATGCATTTTTACAGCGTTAACGTTACAAACCAACAATGCAACGTTGAGTGAGCCGATGTGCCCTTGAAACTCGAACGTTTCTCGACGTAATTATATGAACGCAAGCGTCATGTTCGGGATGCACACGGTCGTACAGCGAGGGCGAACGCGCTGCCCGAACGGTCCTGTGAACC